TGATATACATTTCAAGTAAAAAGTCAAAGTAACTAAAGTAAAATAAAAAGATTAGTTTTATTGGTAACACTCTAACAGTCTAGAAAAGAAAGAGAATAAGAAATGGAACCAAAGCGTTACACCTCTCCTTTAAATGTGGGATAACCCCAGTGGGTATACATAAAGAGAGAAAAAGAAGATGGACGGGGTAACCTTAACTAATAACAAAAAGTATAAGTATTAAAATGGTTATTTAATAGGTAATAATTAAAAGTCCAAATAGACAGAAAACAAGACAAACAAACACTCTTATAGATCAACTATGCATGAAAGGTAAGAGTGACAAGAACACACACACATAAATTAAAAAATGATATATATAGATGAATATAGGCTACGGCCAGCCAACAAGTGTATCCGAATCAATGGACACAGATAATTCAATAGTATCAATATCAAAGGTGAGTATAGATGTCTACTCGGATTGTTTTGTGCTATGATTTATTAAGTCAGTGATAATTGTGATTGCAACGGCAGTTCTATACAGAAGATAGCTGAGATGGAATTTATCATAATCTCAGACCAAATTACCCCCAGCATAATACCTAAGGTAGACCGCTGTAGTCAGTAATTGGCTGAGCTATTCAGCAGAGAAATTCCCATCACTCTTACCTTTCATGCATAGTTGATCTATAAGAGTGTTTGTTTGTCTTGTTTTCTGTCTATTTGGACTTTTAATTATTACCTATTAAATAACAATTTTAATACTTATAAGGAAGCAAGTTTAATGGTTAGAGTTAGGACCCACCTAGGGGGATCTGCCTTGACGTTGGCAGGTGGGCTTATCCTCTCATGTCCATTGGAGGTAACTAAAAACCTCAATTTGTTTAAAAATACATAGGGATTAAGGAGAGAGCGCAGGTAACTTGTTTTTCTTTGGTTTTTACTATATATTGGGGCTGATGTGTACTGTAGTCATTGCTGCCGCCCAGTAGTGATGGGAGTGAGCGCAGGACTTATCTTTTTGCATTTGCTCTATAAGACTGTTCGTTTGTCTTGTTTTCTGTCCATTTGGACTTTTAATTATTACCTATTAAATAACCATTTTAATACTTATACTTTTTGTTATTAGTAAAGGTGACCCCCTCCCTCTTCTTTTTCTCTCTTTATTTAATTTATTGGTATTCCAAAAGTTACATAAAAAGATTTTTTAAAAGTCGACATTTCAGTTCTACATGAAAACTTTCCTCAGGACACATTAATATGTATGTAGTGGATGCAGTGTGTGTATATTAGATGTAGTGTGTGTTAGTTTGTAGGGTTGTGTGGCGGGACCGCTGCCTGTTCGTGAATTGCCTGTCTGATATTATGTGTAGAGTTGAGCGAACCCGGACTGTAAAGTTCGGGTTCGTACCGAACATTAGGGTTTTTGGACCCCGGACCCGAACACAGACATATCACTGAATGTTCGAGTTGGAGTTCGGTGTTCGGCGATTTAATGGCACGTTTTGAAAGGCTGCAGGGCAGCCAATCAACAAGCGTTTGACTCGTGTGCCCTTAGAAGCCATCACAGCCATGCCTACTAATGGCATGGCTGTGATTGGCCAGTGCAGCATGTGACCCAGCCTCTATATATAAGCTGGAGTCGCGTAGCTCCGCACGCACATGCGGTCTTATTAGTGTAGGGAGAGGATGCTGCCGCTGATAGGGACAGTTCTGGAAAGAATTCTGCAAACTAGTACATTAGTGGGGTGGGGTGCTCTTCATATCTCAGAGTCAAATAGAAGCTTCAAATACCGCGGTTACATTGGAGTTTTAAAAAGTACATTGTTTTTGGTGCTAAATAGTACATTAGTGTGATAGTACATTAGTGGGGTGCACTTCATATCTTAGAGTCAAAAAGAATCGTCAAATACTCCTGTAACATTGCATTTTTAAAACTTGAACATTTTTGGGTGCTAAAAAGTACATTAGTGGGGTGCACTTCATATCTGAGAGTCAAATAGAAGCGTCAAATACTGCTGTCACATTGCAGTTTTAAAACAAAATTATTTGGGTGCTAAACTGCTAAATAGTATTTTAGTGGGGTACACTTCATATCTGAGAGTCAAATCGAAACGTCTAATAGTGTGCTTAAAGCGCAGTTGTAAAAATTCTAATTTTCTGGGTGCTAATCTGCTTAATAGTAAATTTTGGGGCCTGTGGTGCACTTCATATCTGAGAGTCAAATCGAAGCGTCTAATAGTGTGCTTATAGCGCAGTTGTAAACATTCTAATTGTTTTGCTGCTAATCTGCTAAATAGTACATTTTGTGGCCTGCTCTTCATATCTGAGAGTCAAATAAAAGCGTCTAAAAGTGTGCTCAGGGCCGGCCTTAGGCAATTAGGCGCCCTGTGCAAAAAGTCTTCACGGCGCCCCCCCCACCTCCCACCAAGTTGCCTGAATACAGTAACACACACAGGCACCGGGGACGTGTGTATCACGAGGCAAACAAGGCATCTGTCTTGGGCGCCACTTTGCAGGGGGCGGCAAAAAAAAGCATCCCTCCAAACCCCCAGGCAGATCCCTTGCTTGCCTCGCATCCTGGGGGGCTCAAGAGCTGACCGGCTGGCCACTTTTGAGCCCCCCCAAGGCTGGCAGCGGGCAGCGAAGGAGCATACTCACCTGAGCTCTTCCTGCTCAGCTTCCTCTGCGCCGCTTAATGAAGCCGGGAGCCAGAATATGACGTCAGTCCGGCTCCCGGCATCACTAAGCGCTGCTTACTCAGCCTGTGCGCCCCCTGCCTGCCTGCCCAGCAGCCACACTGGACTGCTGGTAAGAAATCCACTCCAGCTTTCCCAGGGAGGCTGGGTGGATTTAAAATAAATGTAAAAAATATTAGTTTGTGAGTGTTAGTGGAAATGTCTGTGTGTGTGTCTGTGAGTGTTTATTTTGAAGTGAATGTGTGTGTGTGTGTGTGTGTGTCTGTAAGTGTGTAATTGTGTGTGTCTGTAAGTGAATGTGTGTGTGTCTGTGAGTGAATGTGTGTGTTGGTCAGTGAGTGTATATGTGTCAGTCAGTGAGTGTGTATGTGTCAGTCAGTGAGTGTGTATGTGTCGTCAGTGAGTGTGTATGTGTCGTCAGTGAGTGTGCGTCTGTCAGTGAGTGAGCGTCTGTCAGTCAAAGTGCGGCCTTGACAGGAAGGGGTGGGGGAAATTTAAACTCGGTTACAGGCATGTACACACACACTCAGTTAAAGGCAGTCACACATACAGGCACAGGCACAAACAATGGCACAGCTACAGCGACACACACAGACAGACAGTCACATAGGCAGTCACACACACAGACAGACACACAGTAACACACACATAGACAGTTATACACACACAGGCAGGCAGTCACACAGATAGAAAGTCACACACACAGGCAGGCAGTCACACACAGACAGATAGTTACAGACAGACACACACAGGCAGGCAGGCAGTCACATACAGGCAGTCACACACACAGGCAGTCACACACACAGACAGACAGTCACACACACAGACAGTCACACAGACAGACAGTCTCACACACACAGGCAGTCACACACACGGGCAGTCACACAGACAGTCACACAGACAGACAGTCACACACACAGGCAGTCACATACATGGGCAGTCACACAGACAGACAGTCACACACACAGACAGTCACACACAGGCAGGCAGTCAGTCACACACACACACACACACACACACACACACACACAGGACAGGCAGTCACACAGACAGTCACACACACACACAGACAGTCACACACAGGCAAACAGTCACACACACACACTTACCTCTTTCCAGTGGATGCAGTTGGCTGATGGGGAAGCATCTTTCCCTCTTCCTGTACAGCAGGGGCTTCGGGAGGTATTAGCCCCGTCTCCGCCTCTCGATAAGCCCCGCCTCCGCCGCTCGGTAAACCCCGCCCCCTCTGCCGCGATTTTTTTTTTTTTTTTAAATAGACCCGGGTGGAGAACAATTAATCCTCCAGCCAGGTACCTCTTTTAGCTCCCCTGCACTCCGGCCATGAGTGAGCTGTGTCGGCCACAGGGCGCCCCCTGTTCCATGGCGCCCTGTGCGGTCGCACAGCTCGCACACCCCTAAGGCCGGCCCTGAGTGTGCTTACTGCGCAGTTGTAAACATTCTAATTGTTTTTGCTGCTAATCTGCTAAATAGTACATTTGCGGCCTGCGGTTCACTTCATATCTGAGAGTCAAATAGAAGCGTCAAGTAGTGAGCTTACTGCCCAGTTGTAAACATTCTAATTGTTTTGCTGCTAATCTGCTGCCTACATTGGTGTTTTAAAAAGTCAATTTTTTTTGGTGCTAAATAGTATATTTGGGGTGTTCACTTCATATCTGAGAGTCAAATTGAAGCGTAACTTTGATTCGAATTTACTACATCGGTCACTTGTAATATTGTTTCACACCTACAACACTTGTTACACAGATCTAAGTGATAGAAAACAGATTGATATTTTCTACACTAGAAACTACCAGATAACAATCTGCTATATTTAAACCAGTTATCAATAGCTAAGAGGTACTTCAACAATATTGTAATTCTGGGGGATACCCTCACAAGTCAAACTGAGAGGTCAGTTTATAGGGAAAACGGTTGCCTGGATACAATTCTAAAACAATTTCCAAATGTCCTTTGCAGACTTTACATACTGGAAAAATACATGTGCCAATTGCTGTGGCTTTCTGCAGTGTGCAGACTGGCAAGGAGGGCAGGGTTGAGGAGTGGGTGGAAGATGATGTGGAGGATGATGAGGTACTAGACCCTACATGGAATCAAGGTCATGCGAGTGACGTGTGCAGTTTGGAGGAAGAGGCACTGGTTGCACAGAGGCACCAGCACAGCAGGGCGCAAAAGAGGAGCGGCCGTCCCCTAGCGCTTGTTGGCATGTATTAGCTCAAGAATGACCAGTTATCCAAGTAATACATGTAGCGATCAAAGGATCCATAATAGAGTTGAGCAAACTCGAACTGCAAAATTCAGGTTCGTACCAGATTTAACGATCCATTCGTAGTTTAACAGTCAGGTGGGCAGTCCGGTGACCAGGACCCAGACACTGTCTGGGCAGCAGTCGGACGACCGGGACCCAGTATGCCGAAGTTGATGTTGAAGTTAGGAGTCACAGTATGGAATGGATTAGCAGAGTCTGGTGCAGGGTAACCGCACGCCCCCTGGTGTTGAGCACCAGCGTTTGTGCGGCCACATACCAGGACCCTGATGCAGCTTCAGTAAAAAGAGTACTGGATATCAGAAGCCATCACCAGACTGATCCGCAACTTGGAACAGGATGTGACATTCACTGTAGCGGCTGTGCTTGGACATAACTGTTGATAAAAAATAAAATTAAAATTAAAATAAAATAGAATGTTAAATAAAATAAAAATAAATATAAATAATAAAGAAACTTACACAACTCTAACCCTAAACTCGATCCTAAAACACTCCCTGTATCCAAATTCTTTTCTTTTCTTTTTTTTTAATTCTTTATTTATCATTGACAGAGGTTTCAAGTTTATGACAAAGTAACAAATAATCACATTTTTATCCATTGAAAACATGAAGAACAGTAACATATGCACCCCCTTTTGTTCTGTTACAACCCCTTGATATTTGTTTAAGTGCTCTTGACTGACATGTTCATTCAGGGGTATCATCTCTGCACGTGTTATTTACTTTCGCAGTTTACCCCTTGTCGTCTTTTTAGTTTTTCTAGGAGTTAAACCATTGCTACTTATCAACCCATCTAAGGAGGAGCAGTCTGTTGGTTTGGTCGAGTTTTATACTGGTTCGTGTGCCACTTTAGTACATGCTCCTATTCCAGTATGTCTTAATCTCCTCCCTTTAACTCTATTAATTGCAAAAAGCATGGTAGTAATGTTATTAGATAGGTGAATGGGAAAGAAAGGAAAAGAGAGAGAAGAGAAAAGGAAGTTAGGAATCGAGTGGTGGCGGTTGTCTAAGGCCGTCTTTAGCAAGAGTTCTTTTATGCTGATTTGTGGAGAATAGTGTGGTGGGGCCGCCTCTCCTCAGCTAAGTGGGCTACCCTCCCATGGTGCCCATATTTTTTTAAATGTTGTTTGGGTTCCCCTTAATCTAGCTGTGAGCCTGAATCTAAATTCTAAATGTAACTATCTCAAACCTTAAACTCAATCCTAAAACATTCACTGTACCCCAATACTAAATATATCCCCACTCTAATTTTGGACCCAATAATCCACTGTTAAATCCTTTTACGTTTTTAATCATCTTAACACTGAACACCACATGTAATCTAACTTTGACATTAACTGCTCTTTAACCTTACACCCTCTTTACTTCTACCCTCTTTACTTATAACATTATCTTGACCCCCACATGCATTTATACAGCTGTATACACTCTCTATACTCACAGATTCAAACATTGCATCACATGCAAAGCAGAAATATGCATTTGTTAAATATGAATATATATTTTAAGATGTTTTTTAGACCTGCAATGTCCAGTTGCTATATTAAAGGGACACTATAGTCACCTGAACAACTTTAGCTTAAGGAAGCAGTTTTGGTGTATAGAACATGCCCCTGCAGCCTCACTGCTTAATCCTCTGCCAATCCCTTTGTTTATGAACCCTCGTCACACCTCCCTGCATGTGACTTGCACAGCCTTCCATAAACACTTCCTGTAACGAGAGCCCTATGTTTAATTAAGATTTTCTTATCCCCTGCTATGTTAATAACTTGCTAGACCCTGCAAGAGCCTCCTGTATGTGATTAAAGTTCAATTTAGTGATTGAGATACAATTATTTAAGGTAAATTTCATCTGTTTGAAAGTGAAACCAGTTTTTTTTTTCATGCAGGCTCTGTCAATCATAGCCAGGGGAGGTGTGGCTAGGGCTGCATAAACCGAAACAAAGTGATTTAACTCCTAAATGACAGTGAATTGAGCAGTGAAATTGCAGGGGAATGCTCTATACACTAAAACTGCTTTTTTTAGCTAGAGTAATTTCGGTGACCTATAGTGTTCCTTTAAATACTCTTTCTTTATCTACCTTATCTTTAAGTTGGGAGAAGGGGGTGCCTTAGAATGTTGTGCCTACAGGAATCTGACAAATTAATCCAGACCTGGATTACAGCCCCACTTTTAGTATTTTAGATTACTTTTCAGAACACAACACTTTTTGTACTTAACCGTCCCCCAAATATTTCTAATATTGCTCACTTGAAATCTGCACCTTGGCTTTACTTGAAATGGTGTGTGTTGGGATTTGGTAAATTTACTCAACATAAACTTAAAAGGAAATGGAAAATAAATGAAAAACGGTAAATGCATGGGATAGATCAATTTCATTGTTTTATTCAAAGGTGTAATTTCCAGAGAAGTGACATATCTCCTTTAAGAAGACAGAAGTTTGTCCACAGAGTTCTTAATATTACATCAAACTGCTAATCTGTTTAACTTGTATGGCTCTCTTTGTTGCTCTGATCAACTCTGATCTTCCCCAGGAAATGCTTGATGATATTACGAGCATATCATGTGAATATTTTGGCAGAGCTGACAATTCTTTTAGAAAAAAATTATGATGCAATTTTCTGAATTTGTTCCTAGTATTTTGCTCAATTCTTCTCTGCCCTGCCACTTTGAACAATTATAGTGAATCAACCTAACCTATCTTAGGTTTCACACAGAGTATTAACATGTCATTTAGACAGGGCTCAAAATTTCCACTTGCCACTAGCCATTGCCCTGGCGAACAGAATTTCACTGCTGGTGAGTATAATTTGACTTGCAGTGGCAAGTAAATTTTAAGGGCAGGCTAGTAGCCTAGGATTTAAAAATTTAAGCCGTGACTTACTTATATATAGATATACATTTTTTTTTTACCTTTACTGCATGTTACTATTTTGGGTTTTCATTTTAATTTTAGATTTAGAGCCATCCAATAATTAAAAAGTTTATACTTATTTCTAAATTAAGGCTATCTTCTCACCCCTGGGAGATTTAGTGATGATCTTATAGCCAATCCAATGCATGTCATAGAGAACCATTGGGACATAGTGCACATGGGCAGCAATTGCTGCAATCCTTTCTGAGTGAACCTCTGAGCATGAGCACACCCTCGCAGGCAAGTCCACAAGGCTCCAAGATCTTATCTTTCCTACAGGCACCTACTTCCTTCACACCTGGCCACACCCATCTTGCCATGTGCAAGCACACCTGTGGAGTAGAATCAGAGGCATCTCAATGAGAAACCTCTGATTGATCATTTCCCCAGCACAGACTGAAACATGGACAGTTACATTAACTCAGTGAAACTAAGGGAAGGAGGAAGCAAACCTCCCTGTCTGATTGACGGCCAGGGGGTGTTTCATAATTGAATTATAAAAGTGCAGATTTTTCTTAGATATCAGCAATTTTAGAAAGTGTAATTGAAAAAAATTACTCTTCACCCATAAAGCTTGCTGAAGTGCTTAATGTGTGGAGTGGTGCTTTAAAGTGACACTGTAGGCTCTATAATCGTTTCATCTCATCGAATTGGTTATAGTGCCTGGAGTCCACAGGCACTGTTCTCCATTTTATGTTAAACCAGTATAACACTGAATAATGGCCTAAATATGCCTAAGGCAGAGATTAGTATGGTGACACTACCTGTGATAGGAACTGTGATAGGCTGGATGCAGCCTGCTGACACTCTTAGCCAATAACAGCCACATATTGTTGTTCAGGCTAATGCATCCTCATAAACTCAAGCAGCACAGAAAGGGATTGGATACTGTGTAATTTTGATTATCATTAAAATATTAAAAATGGACACTGCCAGTGGACTCCAGGCACTATATCCACTTCAATAAGATGAAGTAGTTATAGTGCATACAGTGTCATTGTAATTCTATAACACTTGACCAACTTGTTTCTGTCTTTTAATTGTTTTAGTCAATTAATTTTGTTTACATTTTCCAATGTATTGTGGTCAGAGTGCAATAAAAATGTAGGGTTGACTCCACACTGAAGTGTCCCTTAAAATAGGTTGTATATGTTCTAAAAGGATGGTGAGCGAAATATATGGTAGCATTATAAAGGATGCTACTTTATTAATGAAAAGAAAAAGAAAAAAACCAAAAGGTACAAAATAATGTGAATCACCAAAGTGATAATATAAGTATTATTTTTTTGTACCTTTTGGTTTTTTTCTTTTTCTTTTCACTATTGTAACTTGAGTGTCTGTGAGGGAACACTTTAAAACCTTGGGTACTTTGTGCATTTTAGCACTAACAGTTAACTTCTTGGTTCTCTCTGTGCTACTTTATGAATCCTACAGTATCAGCACTCTCTGCTGTAAGTGTTTCTCTTAATTTAAAGTGTGGTTGTAGGCACGGGCGTTTTAGCCGCGAGGCTAACAAGGCATTTGCCTTGGGCGGCATTTTCCAGGGGGCGGCAAAAAAAGCCGCCCCCCAAATGCCCAGGGCAAATGCCTTGTTAGCCTCGCGGCTAACTGACATGTTGGGCAGGAGGCGCTGGCGGGTGGCTGGCGAGGGAGCACTTCATATTCCGGCTCCCAGCCTCACTCTGCGGCGCGCGAGGGAGCTGAGCAGAGTGCTCAGAGGAAGTGCTCCCTCGCCAGCCACCTGCCAGCCACCCGCCCAGCGCCCAGCAGCCACTGGACCCCCAGGGAGAAAGGGAACCCCTACACCCCCAGCATTCCCAAAGGTAAGGAGGCTGGGGGGGGGTTAAATAAAAAAAAGATATATGTTAATGTGAGTGAGTGTGTGTATATGTCTGTTAGTGTGTGTGTCTGTGTGTCTATTAGTGTGTGTGTGTGTGTCTATTAGTGTGTGTGTGTCTATTAGTGTGTGTGTCTATTAGTGTGGGAGTGTGTATCTGTTAGTGTGTGTGTGTGTCTGTTAGTGTGTGTGTTTGTCTGTTAGTGTGTGAGTTTGTGTCTGTTAGTGTGTCTGTGTGTGTGTCTGTTAATGAGTGAGTGTGTCTGTTAGTGTGTGTGTCTGTTAGTGAGTGTGTCTGTTAGCTAGTGTATGCATATCTGTCAGTGAATGTGTGTATTTTAGAAGGTTGGGTAGGGGTGGCATGGGGGGGAGGGGGCACCTTAGTTTTGTCCTGCCTAGGGCAGCACAAAACCAGGATACACCACTGGTTGTAGGCAGTGCCAGACTCACTCACCGGGATATCAGGAAATTTTCTGCAGCACTTGGGGCCAGGCAGGCAGTCCTAATGTCATTTAAA